AATAGTAATTGGTAAAAACTACTAGTCAATTCAAAAAAAGGATAATTTTTATTTTTTCTATTTTTGAATTGAAAAAGACAGAATATAATCTTAATGCAGATTTTCTTTTTGCTTATTAACAGTCATGATTGCACCATTTAATCAGCCAACTACACCAGAAAAAATCTATTTCAGTAAAGTTCACCTACAGATAGATGGTGATGTGGGGCAATCCTTTGATCATCTCAAAAACCATTGGATGTCACAAGAGACGTGAAGCACTTCAGTGCTCCTAAACATATGCTTACCCAAACTATATATTGCAAAATATATTTTTAATGTGTAAGTTGCTGGAAAACTTTTACAATTCCTTAGGATTAGAAATTCCAGATGACATAAACTTTGAGGACAACAACGAAGATGAGGTACACTATGTTCAGGTTGAATTAACATAAGTCAACCAATTCGACTTGGCATTGTACAAAGAACACTAGTTAAAACTATGTTATTAAATTGAAGGGGATATGGGGATATATATGATTTACGTGATATTTATGAATGAAAAAAATGAAAGTTTTTTTTATTTATTAATTGCATACTAAACAATTTAAAAATTTATCTGCCTTTAATAACCTCTTTGTAGAATAATCAATTCTGAACCCTCTCTACCTCTTTTCAACTTAAAACTATTTTCCCAATATTTATAATTTTTTATTTTTAAATAAATATTTAATAAAAAGTATTTTGTTTTTACAGCAGAGTTTATAAAAAATATTATTGTCATTTTATTAGGGTGTGAAAAATGTTAATTAGTAATAACCCCTAATTTAAATTAGTTAGAAATTATATGAATTCAATATTAGAAAAGTTTGTTTTATAAAATTACGAAAACTTGGTTTATTCAAACAAAAATTAACTTGGTTGATTTTTGCGTAAGTTTTTGCGTAAGTTTGGCGCAACTCGTGCGCAACCCTAACTTTACGGAAATGCTGCGAATACCAAAACTACGCTGAAGGTACGATTTCCGTAACCTTAGTTGAGCTACGCAAGAGTTACGAAAGTTTGGTGAATCCGCACCCTGTTCCAGAATTCAAAATAAGATATTGGCTAGCGGTCGTTCGTATAATTCAGAATAAGGTACACTTAAAGCGCATGCGTACCAACCGTCAAAAGTATTCTAGGTCTGCGATTTTTGTAAAATTCAAAATCTTATTTTGAATTATACGAAAGACCGTTAGCCCCAAGTAAACTACTATTAAATTTCACAACAACTTGATTTAGAGAATTCAATTACATAAATTATTACTTTTATTAATTGTATAACTCTATTATTACAACAATTTTTAATAATTTATTCTTACAAAACTAATCTACTTTAACTCATCAAAGTTTTTATATTAATAGTTCAATCTGCGAAGCTCCTTTTATAACAACTTTAGCGTGGATGATCCAGAATAAAGCCTGTTCTCCATTCAGAACTATTTACGCTTAGGAGGAACGGAAGAGTTCTTTGAGCATGCGCAAAAAATTCTGATTGGAGAACGGGTTTAAAAAAACTGTTTGCGCATGCTCAAAGAACTTTTCCGCTTCTCCAAAGCGCAAAAAGTTCTGAATGGAGAACGGGCTTAAGGTTTATAATTTGAACGCATGCGTAATAGCAACTCAATCCGTTCCAGGTCTGCGTTTTTTTGAAAATTCAAAACCTTATTTTGGATCATCCTAAAGAACGCGTTCTTTAGGATGATCGTCTGTTTCACTTAACATAAACGGCTGTTTCACTCAATATAAAAGCGAGCCTGACGTCACGAGTTTATCAAAAAAAAAAGTATTTCCGCATAAAAAGTATAAAAATTCATTAACTTTAAAATAATAGTATTTTTTTTCTATAAATGCTTTCATCTTCAAACAAAAAAAATATAAAAGATCTATCTTTCCTTGTTAAATAAACATTTACATTAAACGGAATAAAAATGAAAGCTGTAAAAATATTGTTAATTATAATTAATACTTAACTTAACGCTGCCGCTGCTGCTGCTGCTGCTGCACCTTTACACGGACTTTTTTACCATTCTTGGCCTTTGAGTTTTATTATAAATTGCTTTACTTCTGAACTCGCGTAATGAGGCTCTTTCAAATCTTAATTATCTGTCAGTATCTGCTTAATCAGTAATTAGATCAAAAACTTTGTTTCATCAGCTTAATTAGTGATAAGATCAACAATTTTTATTTGATAACTTCTGTAGTAAAGGATGAACATTATGTTATTATTGAATAAGTAAAGTAACTTTTAAAGTCAGGTGATTTATTTAAATCATGCATTTTAGTCTTTTGTCAATTGTATTTAAATTTATTAAGTTATAAAATTAATCTCTAATTTTTAAATTAAAAGACGACTCAAGAAGACGTTGCTCATTTTAAAGGTCAAGAGGTCAAACTCTTGATAAAGTTAGTGTTTAAAACACTTGCATCTCACACGGTCAACTCAATGTTACATGTTAAAAAACAAGATCGTTTAATACCTTATTTAAAAGAAGTTATAAAAATCCGTATAAAAAACCAGATTGTTTGATAGTTTGTTTTTGAAAGCTGTTAAACATTTATTACAAGGTATTTCAAAAAACAAAAATAAGGTTGTATTTGTAAAGTTTCAAATTTATATACTTTTCTTAATTTATATATTTATCTATATATGTGTGTTATTTATATTGTGTTTTATTGTGTATATATGTGTTAAGGTTATATGGGTTTATATTTTGTAAGTGTGTAAATATATGAAATGTTTCAATGTTTGTGGTGTGTTATATGTAATATGTTTATAGTTTGTAAGTGATAGTTATGTTGTTTGCATGGTTTCAAATTGTTGTGACTGGGCTTAGTTTACAGCAAGATTGTTGATCTTGCTAGCCAAGTGGTGTACTTTGCTATAATGTGACCTGGCTTTGTTGAGAGCAAAAATATTGTCCTCGCCAGCAGAGTGGTGTATTGTCATAATAAAACACATAAATTAATTCTGTTTGTAATTAGTGTATTTCTAAAATGTGTTGAAAAAATATTGCTGAAAAAATGTGTTTTAATGTTGTTATCCTCTGTTCTTAACAATGTATGCTTTTGACAATAAATAAATTTTGTTAAAAAGCAGGCTTTACTAACAGCTCCTCCTCATTAAAATTTTTAAAAGTTTCGATTTTCTTCATTAAATATATTTAACTCAAATTTTTTTTATATATATAAAAGTAAGTATACAGTGTGTTGAAGCATAAGTTTTAATAACTTTTGTAAAATTTTTAGGATTTTTTGTATAGAGAATGTTTTCTTTATATTATTATTTTAATGTTTTGTATGTACATCAATATATATATATATATATATATATATATATATATATATATATATATATATATATATATATATATATATATATATATATGTATATATATAGACACACACACACAATAAAATATATAGAATTAAAATGTCTATACATATATTATATGTATTGACATTTTCATCTTTTTGCCTTAAATTATTGTCCCTTTTTCTTTAGAATATTAAATATCTAAAAAAAAATTAAAATAGTAAAAGAAGTTTCAATATTTCCAAGTTTCTTCACTTGAAGCAAATATATGATTGTTTATAGAGGTTCTTTTAGTAGTTTTGTATTTATTTATTGCAAATCTTGCGTTAAATGCCTTTCAAAGTAATGAAAGGGTTTTGTTGATGGATGATTACATTTTATCCTTCCATGCTAGCAGTACCTGCTGAGTTGACAGGCCTTAAATTTTTTTAATTTGCTTTATTTATGAGTTCTTATATGTTTAAAATTTGTTTTTTAAATTACATTTGTTTTTTGTTTTTTTTTTTTGATTAAATTTTTATAATATTTTGTCAATAATTAATAACAACTACCATAAACATATAAACAATACTTAGTTGAAAATATTACATTAATTTATAACTTTAGTTTAAGTTTTTAATAAAACTATGTTATCTTAACACAAAGCTATATATGGTAGAATATAATAGAATAGTATTATGCTCTGTATTATTTGCTTACACTTTATTTTAGATAAGTTTAAAAAAGAAACTTCAACTTTTATTATATTAGGCATCATTTTTACACACTCCTTTGATGCCTAATTATGTCTAATAATTTAAGAAATGAAATTATTAGACTTCGTCAAAATGAAAGAAGGCAGGCTAGGCGAGCTGAGATAAACCGCCGTCGAAATGAAAGAGATGAGCCCAGGCGAGCTGAGATAAATCATCGTCGAATTGAAAGAGATGAGCCCAGGCGAGCTGAGATAAATCGTCGTCGAATTGAAAGAGATGAGCCCCGGCGAGCTGAGATAAATCGTCGTCGAATTGAAAGAGATGAGCCCTGGCGAGCTGAGATAAATCGTCGTCGAATTAAAAGAGATGAGCCCCGGCGAGCTGAAATAAATTGTAATCAAAATGAAAGAAATCAGGCTAGGCGAGAACTTAATAGGTATTATATGCATCGCATAGCAAGAAATAATATTGCTATAGAGAGTAACTACCTCGGAGAATTAAACCATAATTGTCAGTATTGCAGTGCATAGAAGTTTTTAAATGAAACTCATTTTTTGTGCTGCCATTCAGGAAAAGTTGTATTAGCTCCTCTTTCTCTTTATCCGCCATTGTTGACTGGTTTAATGACAGGAAACCATGTTGATCATGCTGTAAATCAAAATTTTTTTAAACACATAAGGAGTTATAATTCCTCTTTATCTTTTGCTTCCTTCACTACCGAAATAGCTCTTCCCTCAAATAATGGCCCTTTCTGTTTTAGTGTCTGTGGGCAAATTTTGCATCGTGTTGGAAATTTAAGGCCTGCAGAAGGTTGTCTGCCCAAATATTGTCAGCTGTATATCTATGATCCTAATGCAGCAGTGTCATTCAGAATGGAACAACCTGGTAATGATGGTTGTATACATGAGTTAATGCAACTCTTGCAAACATAAATTAATTAAGAAAACCCATTTGCTCTTGCATTTAAAAACATGGCAGAAGTAGAGGATGAAGAAATCCGCCAAGCAGCTTTAAAAGGTAGACTAACCTCTGTTGTAAGAATGTCTTTGCTTGAAGGTCATGATAGACGTCGATACAATCTTCTTTCCCATGAGGAAGTTGCTATTGTGTTTGTGGGAGACGATGGTGCTCCACCTGCATCCAGGGAAATTGTTATATACCCTCGAGGTCAGCCTTTAAGAACAATTTCTTCTATGTCTGCAAATTTGGATCCTTTGGTATATCCAATATTCTTCCCGAGAGGTGATGCTGGATGGCACAATCAACTAGAGCACAACCCTGACCGTGCAACCCGTGTTAGAAACCATGTTACTTTGTCTCAGTATTATAATTATAGGCTTGCTGTTAGACAAACTTTTAGTCCTATATTCTATGGTAAGAAACTTTTTCAGCAATATGTTGTTGATGCATATGTCAAAGTTGAGGGACAGCGCCTTGCTTTTATTAGAAATAACCAAAACAAACTTAGAAGTGAGCAATATGATGCATTGCATGAACATGTAATTAATCGTGCTAATGATCTTAATGTAAGACCAGGCCGTGTTGTTATATTGCCTTCTTCATATGTTGGTAGTCCAAGAGCATTAAAAGAAAACTTTGAAGATGCGATGGCAGTCATAAAGAAATATGGTAAACCAGATCTATTCATTACTTTTACCTGCAATCCAAAATGGAGAGAAATAGTAGAAAATTTAAACCCAGGCCAAACTGCTAATGACAGACCTGATTTAGTTTGTCGGGTATTTAAAATGAAACTTAAATTTTTCTTAGAGGATATTTTTAAGCATGGAGTCTTAGGCAAAGTTGTAAGTCATGTGCAGGTTATTGAGTTTCAAAAGCGTGGTTTGCCACATGTACATATTTTATTGCACTTTGTAAATGCTGATAAGCTAGAAACAGCAGAAGATATTGATAGTTTGATATCAGCAGAAATCCCAGACCCAGCTGTTGATCCTGAACTTTTTGAAATTATAAAATCATGCATGATACATGGACCATGTGGAATTTTAAATCCCAATTCTCCCTGCATGAAAGATGGTAAATGCACAAAAAAATTTCCTAAGGAATTTAATCCCCACACTGTTGCAATTTTTAATGGTTATCCACGCTATAGGCGCGTCGATAATGGAAGAATTGTAAATATAAAAGGTTATCAAGTTGACAACCGTTGGGTTGTACCTTATAACCCATGGCTTTCTAAAAAATATCAAGCACACATAAATGTTGAAGCCTGCATGACCATAAAGTCAGTTAAGTATTTATATAAGTACATTTACAAAGGGCATGACTGTGCCAATGTGGTGATAAATGAGCAAGTTAACCATGATGAAATAAACACGTTTTTAAATTGTCGCTATGTCTCAGCTCCAGAAGCATTGTGGCGAATAATTGAGTATTCTTTAAGTGATATGTCACATAACATCATTCGACTTCAGGTTCATCTGCCAGATAATCAGATGATATATTTTGTAGAAGGCGAAGAACAGGCAGCTTTAGACCGTGCAGCACAGCGTGACACTCACCTAACTGCATGGTTTAAATTAAATGTTGAAAATGAACAAGCCCGACACTATCCATATGTTGAAATTCCTTACCACTTTGTTTTTGATAGCAAACATTGTAAATGGAAAGTTAGGCAAAGAGGTAGCAATAAGGTGATTGTTAGGATGTATAAAGTGAGTCCAATAGGTGAAATATTTTATCTTAGAATGTTACTTTTGCATGTTAGAGGTGCAGTTTCTTTTGAAGATTTGCGTACTGTTAATGGTACAGTTTTTAATACATTCCCAGAAGCATGTTCTCAATTAGGTCTGTTACAAGACGACGCTGAATGGAGAAATACATTAACTAAGGCTGCTGCAACTCGGTTGCCAAATCAAATTAGACAGTTGTTTTCCATTATTTTGACTTTCTGTGAACCTGATGATCCATTAAATCTTTGGAATGCCTTTAAAGATTTTATGATGGAGGATTACATTCACCATTCCATGCCACCAATAATTGCTGAGCAGGCAGCTTTGCGTCAAATTGAATCTATAATTAATCAGAATGGTAAGACTTTAGCTGATTTTAATCTTCCTACTTTAGATGAGTTTTTAGATTATGTCCCACAAAATGAAGAGGAAGATGTTCAGGTTTTAATTGATGAAGCAAATAGGAATAGACCATTGTTAAATGATAATCAGCGTCAAATTGCTGATGCTATCCTTTCTGCTCTTAGTGAGCAACCTAACAATGAAAACAAGCAGTCTAGATTGTTTTTTATGGATGGCCCTGCAGGTTGTGGTAAAACATTTACATACAATTATTTAATCGCTGAAACCAGCAGTAGACATAATATAACTGCAACAGCTGCATGGACAGGAATAGCTGCAACTCTTTTAAAAAAAGGATGTACACTTCATGGTTTGTTCAAACTTCCTGTGCCGGTTTTGGAAAATAGCACATGCAATGTAACTCCAAATTCTATACACGGAAAATTCTTAAGGCAAGTTAGCCTTTATTTACTAGATGAGGCATCCATGATACCTAAACATGCTTTAAATGCCATTGATAAGTTACTTCAAGACGTTTGCATCAACAAGTTTCCTTTCGGTGGTAAAGTTATTCTTATGGGTGGGGATTTTAGGCAAATACTTCCGGTTGTAAAGAGAGGGCAACCAGCTGATATTGTTGAAACCTGTATAAAATGTTCTCAACATTGGCAATATGTTCAGCGATTTTCATTAACAGAAAATATGAAGGTTCAGGCCGAAGAAGAGGAATTCTCTCAATGGCTTTTAAAACTTGGTAGTGGAACATTACCTTTAAAAGCATATGGTTCCTTTCGCGGGTGCATTGAGATTCCTGAGCAATGCTTGCTTGGAGAAAATGAATCTTTAGTTGACAAGATTTTTGGAGTTGCAGAAGAAGATGATTATGCTAAACGTGCCATTTTGACACCCAATAATGTTGATTCTTTAGCAATAAATGAAGAAGTTTTGGACCGTTTACCAGGTGACGTTAAGGTTTATTTAAGTGCTGATACTATTGAAACAGATGATCTTAACGAAATCAATAATTTTCCTGTTGAGTTTTTAAACAGTCTTACTCCATCAGGAATGCCTGTTCATTGCCTAAAGCTAAAAATTGGTGCTGTTATAATGTTACTTCGAAATTTAGATCTAAAAGCTGGACTTTGCAATGGTACCCGATTGATAGTGCGTGCTCTACAAAATAATTACATTGATGGGCAAGTTCTAACAGGTGTTTCAGTTGGCAAGAGGGTATTTGTCCCTCGGGTTCAGTTAACACAATCTGATTCAAATTTACCTTTTACTCTTAAGCGTTGTCAATTTTCTGTAAGATTAGCATACTCAATGACCATAAATAAAAGTCAAGGTCAAACTTTTGACAAAGTTGGTATTTATCTCAAAAACCCTTGCTTTTTACATGGTCAACTCTATGTTGCATGTTCAAGAACAAGATCGTTTAATACCTTATTTTTTAAAATTGATGAACATTCATTACAAGGTATGTCATTTAACAAATGCTACACAAACAATGTTGTATTTACCAATGTACTAAATCTATAAATAATTAATTTTTTACAATTAAACTCCTCATTTCTTATAAATATTTTAACTGTAATTTAAAGTATTTTTGTGTGTTGCTTGATGCAGTAATGTGTGATATTTATTATGTGTTTAAATATGTGTTAAGGTTATATTTTGTAAGTGTTTATGTGTAACTAATGTGTAAATGACTGTTATATGTGAAGTGTATTTTTTATGTTATCTGTTTATAGTTTGTGAGTTGTTATTATGTTGTTTTCATGGTTTCAAAGTGGTGTGACTTGGCTTTGTTTATGGCAAGAGTGTTGTCCTTGCTAGCCAAGTGATGTACAGACATGAAACACATAATAAAATCTGTTTGTAATCACAAAATGTGTACTTATAAGTATGTTATATTTTGTAAGTATTTATGTGTAATTAATGTGTAAATGGCTGTTACATATGAAGTGTATTTTTTGTTATGTTATCTGTTTATAGTTTGTGAGTTGTTATTATGTTGTTTTCATGGTTTCAAAGTGGTGTGACTTGGCTTTGTTTATGGCAAGAGTGTTGTCCTTGCTAGCCAAGCGGTGTACTTTGAATAATGTGACTTGGCTTTGTTTATGGCAAGAATGTTGTCCTTGCTAGCCAAGCGGCGTACTGACATGAAACACATAATAAAATCTGTTTGTAATCACAAAATGTGTACTTGCAAGTATGTTATGCTGTTAGTAAATAAAGTATTTACAATAAAGTCTGGATAACTCAATAAATCAACTTAAATAAATCAAACTAATTTTAAAATTCCAATTGAGCGATTGTTTATGGATCATACTACCACTAACTGAAATATTTTCTAATAAGCTAATTGCTTGATCCTTTGGTGGTTTAAGTTATTGAGTCTTTACTGTAAGATTTTGTGCTATTTGTTATTGATGTTTGTGATGTTACTGTTGTGATGTTTTGTGTTGATAGACGACTTGGCTTACCTTCACGTCGGTGTCTATCGTTAAAAATGATTATAGGGTTGTTTCATACTGAAACTGACTATATATAATCATTCACTAAAAGCCAAGCATTCAATTTTTATATTAAACTGTAAGGGTTTATCTTTTTTTGATTATTTTTAGTGTGCTTTTTTTTGAAAAGAGTTTATAATCAAGACTTGCAACAAAAAATCTTGAAACCTTTACACAAAACCTATTCACACAAAAAAAACAATCTCAAAGTAAGTTTCCTATTTGATATCGCCTTGGTCACACTTTTGAGTTTTTAAATAAAAGAGTACATTAATGTGCTATGTTTTCAATAATTTTGTTTTATTTTAGTTCGAATGCCTTCTCTTAATGTTGATCGTTTTTTAACATCCAAAGGGAAGTTTTGTTAATCTTTATACCATTTACTAAAAGATATATTATAGGGAAACAATTCAAATTGATTTTATAAAGTACTTCTGATACTTTTTATGTTATATATAATAGATATTGTAAAATTTATAAAAAAAAAAAATATTTTTTTAATTTTATCTCAAGAAAAATGTTTTTTGTTTCTCACACAAATTTGTAAATTTTTTCTCTTTGGAATTATAGTATTTGATGGATACATTGCTCATTTTGCTTTTTATATATAAATCTCCGTTATATATGAATGGAAACCGTTAATACTTTTATTACCATGGTAATTACAGATCTAGATAGTTCCATTCCCATTAAGTATTTTACAAATTTTCGGTACAAATAATAGCTATAGTAGTTTAATAATTTGCTAATTTATAAACATTTAGAAAAATTTGTTGCGAGTTTATTGTAGAAAATTTGCTTTTCAAACAAATAGAGCTAATTTTTGACAAAATTAGGATTCGTCACCTGATTCTTTGTCAAATACTTCTCCTTTTTAAATAGGAAAGGTTAAATTTTATAAAAAAGTTTGCCAAAACACTGGGAGAAATGTCACGTAATTGGTAACTATGTTAAATACACTTTTGTTAGGTCCACGTAATTTTCGAATCTGCTCATCACTACGTTAGATGGCGTTATTTCTTTAAAATACCTTAAAAATCTTCAATTCAAAGTTTTTGTTTCGAATCATCAAAATATTGGCATATGATATAAATATACGATTCTAATAAACCAAAAGTATGTGGAAAAATTGCGCATACTTAGGCATCATAAAAACTTAATTCACACCAACCATTTACTTCGATATTTTTTAGTGTATGGCAGAAAAATAAATTACGAACTGTCTTAGATAAATAAAGTTACCGGACCTTTATTACTTAATCCATAAACAATTATTGTTTCATTCGATTTAACACCACAATAAAAAACAAAGCTTTTTCTATTTATTTTCGAAAAAAGTTTTACTGGAAACCGAGTTCTTTTGTAGCATTTTAGTTAGAGTTATAGAAAAATCTATAACTCTTATTTTGTTAAGTAAAAAAAAAAATCTTATGCTCTTCTAATTTTAGTCACCAATAACAACTATGTTAGGAATAGTAGAAAATGTTATGTGTGGTAGAGAAACTGTTTTAGTGTGGTGTTGTAGGAGTACTGCGGGTCTAAGAAACTTTGTTTTCATCGATAAATTATTCTATTGGTCTATTAAAACAGTATGAAAACTTTCCAGTATTTATATTTGATGTCTTTTTTTCATTTTATTTTATAATTGTAATTTAAGTTTCAAAAAGCAGCAAAAACAACTTGAAAAGAACTATCGCACAATGACTCGCTTAAACACAGGATTCCAATTTCCTGATATACATGGAAATGCTGATATTGCTTTCACTATATTGTCTCTTTGTAATGTGTAACATCATTTTTACGTAGGTTTGCCAAATGACCGGCTTTTACAGAGTAGAATATAGTCCCAAACATATACAGTTCAGTTCTTTTACTGCTTTCTTCTTCATTTAAGCCGGACGTCTTGCAACCCTTGAATTTCCCCTTCTTTTTGTTTGCATAAATTACATAATTCTCTTAATTATAAATACTCCAAATCCGATTTTCGAACAGCTTATTTTAAAATCTAAAGAAATGTAAGCGATTAAAGATTACATTTTGCAAGCCAACTAGATGCTTAAACAACTCAAAAGACAGCCACGCGCTCATTATAACTCTCTTATAGTTTTAGAATCTGAGTGAGTTACTGTTTTGAATATCTAAAATCTTCAAATTAAGTTTTTATGATTTTAAGTTAAATTAGACTTAAGAATATGTGTAAGAATTGAGAATAAATATTTTCTTTTTATTTTAGAAATGAACACACAAGAAAATTTAAACGGTATGTATTTATTGCATATGTGTGTTAGTGCTATATGCGCTTATATTAGATATTATATCTATATATCTATATATATCTAATATATGCGTATACAGCACAAACGCTATACTTTATTTAGTACGCATATATAAAAATATAAATATAAATAGACAAACAATTTACACTCTTATAAACAGTGTTGGGTTAACTGATAGACAAAATAAGCACTGCTATCATATTTTATTTATTGGAAATAAATAAAAATATCAAGTAATTCTCTTTTTAGACGATGATGGTGACTTTTTTAGAAGTAAGTAAACTATAATTTCTTTAGAAGTAAACAATTTTTATTTATATAAAGTGATAGTTATAAAAAATTTATTTCAAGTATGGAGAAATCAGTAGCATATTTTTTATCAAATATTTGTATACTAATAGTAATTTGATTGTTGGTAATAGTTATATAGTTATATACACGCAGCTATTTAATAGTGAAATTTCATTATTATATGTAAAATTCAAATCTTGAAATAAGAAAAAAATCTTTATGTGTTTTTCAACTAGAAACTTGGAATTTATTTTCTAGACCAGATGTTGTGATTATTATATTTTCTAGACTAGATGTAGTGCTTTATCATATGATATGCTAAATGTATATATTGTATTGTGTGTATATCTTAGATGTGCAGGAGATAATGGCAGAAGAGACAGAGTCTTTTCTGCCTTATTTTAAAGAATTCTCCGATAATCAAAGTTAGCATTTTCTATTTTTTCTTTTTTACTTCAGTTTTTTCGAAGTTTATGTTACAGTAAATAAATTTATGAACTAATCTTTCATACAATTTGTTTATTTAGAAAATTTAGAAAGTAGAGTTAGTAAGCAAAATTTCATTACATTACTTTTATGTATATTAAATAAAAAATAATGAGGTTGGCTTTAGTAATTTGTTCATCTATTTAGAAAAATTAGAAGATTTACAAAAGTCCATAGGTGAGTAAAATTGCTTTTATGTTTATTATACACCCTAATTATTTATGTACATCTAATATTAAATGCGTTTTTTCAATTTGAGATTAGTTTTGGACTTTGTACTTTTTGGTCAATTTTTTTAGATATCATTTTAAACTACATTTGTAAGTAACTATATTATGTTTTATGTCTCATAAAAGTTTTAATAAATAATATAATGTAATCACTTATATAGTGACAAATCCAACTTCCTCAGTAACGTATGTTGTTGTACTCACTTATACTTGACTTATTACATTAATTGATTGTTTTTATTGCATTTTTAATTTTCTTTTATTTATCTCTAGCTGCTGCTTCTTCTGTTACAAGTAAGTTGTTCTATTCACTTATACTTGACTTAATTTATGGATTAATTGGTTTTATTGCATTTTTAACTTTCTTTTATTTATCTCTAGCTGCTGCTTCTTCTGTTACAAGTAAGTTGTTATATTCACTTATACTTGACTTAATTTATGGATTAATTGGTTTTGTTGCATTTTTAACTTTCTTTTATTTATCTCTAGCTGCTGCTTCTTCTGTTACAAGTAAGTTGTTATATTCACCTTTACTTGACTTATTACATTGATTGATTGCTTTTATTGTACCTTTTGTTTTTTAATATAGCTACAAATGTGCTTTCCAGTTTAATTAGTTAATGTAATAAGTCAAGTATTAGTGAGTAAAATAAATAAGTTGTTGTGCTCACTTGTACTTAATTTATTACATTATTTGCTTTTATTGTTTTTTTACAGTAGATTTTTTGTAAGTATTACCTTGGTAGATAGTTGTATTTATATATAATTTTTTTTTCAGGCTCGAAGTCATGGGAAGATTTCAGAAAGTATCACTCCCAGCATCCAGGCCCTCTATCTATGAGGGCCTTCCATCGCTGGTGTTTGTATGGGGACGACCATCCCTCCTTTAGATGGAGGGATGGCACCCCATACAACACGGGGAATAGAGCGGATGCTGGGAGGAGAAGACAACGTGGCGCAAAAGTTGTCAATAATTTTTTTACATATTAAAATGTGAAGAAATTGACAACTTTTGAGCCACTTCATTTTTTTTTTGTAATATATTTTTGTAAATTTATTTTTGTGTTGTTTTTTAATTTTTCCCATGAATGTTAAATGTTATCAAAGTAAATCATTTAAATAAAGACACCTTTATCAACAATGCTCATTAACTAGAAATAAAAATCACGGTCATACATTTGATAAAGTTAATGTTAATCTCAAAGGGATATGGTTTTCACACAATCAAATTCTATGTAGCACCTTCCAGAACTAAGAATATAAGTGTGTGATGTTAGTAGTTTAAAATATGTATAATAAACTCAGAATAACTCAATAACCCTCAACAAAACTATGAACTAATTTTGAAATTCAAGTTGTGCTTTTTTATTTATTAATACCTCCCCTCCCAATAACTCTAATTTTCCTTAAAAAACTAATTTTTTTGTCCTTTGGAGGTGGTTCTGCTATTTAATTAATTGTTGTGATGTTTTATGCAAATAGATTTAGCTCACATTCATGTTGGTCTGTCAGGGTTATGTAAAAATAAAAAAGTAAGTTTCTTATTCGCATTTTTGAGTTTTCAAAAGTATTGATTGCATGACATGTTAATTTGTAATTAATGTGTATGATTATGCGTTTAAATAACTTTGTTCCATTTTTAGTTCCGTTTCTTATAGCTGACTTGATTATGGTTAACCTAAAGCGTAATATTTATGAAACAATGATTCAATTTAAATTGTATTATAAGTAGCTCTGTTGAATAAAATTTTTTTTTGTAATTTGTACTAAAGGTTATATTTTTATTTTATATCAAGAAAAATATGTTTTTAAGTAAATATCTATATTTTTTTATTTTAGGATTTATTGTTTTAAATGGATATAAAAATCATTTTTGCTTTGTCTCTTATATTTCCTTTTATTATATATGAATAGGAACCATTTATGCTTTAATCACCATTAGCACTCGAAGTTTCCATTTGCATTAAGTATCGATTTTTGGCACACACAACAGGTTTAATAACTTAGGCAGTAAAAACAGCTTGAATGATTTGTTAAGAGTCTTTAAAGAAACGCTTTTACGAAAAGCATTAAATAGATAAAGCTAACTTATTTAAAATAATAAGTCTTTAACCCGTTTTTCTATATCCAAATTTACTTTTTAAATAATTCCTACAAATACTAAACGTAAAATAACGCTTACAAACACCAAAAGTATGTTTGCAGTGAATAAAGTTAAGTTCAAAGATAAATAAGAAGAAATTTTAAAACTGTTTCAATAATAACATTTATTTTTAATTACTTTTGTTGTAAGTTGGGATGAAAAAAAAAGTCACTGGAGTATGAACTCCCGGGGTGAGATGACTATATCTGTCTAAATGTTGCGCGTCTACCAATTAGCCCATAAACGTATTTTCTATTTAGAATTTAAGACTATTTATGACGCATAAGAAGTGTAATTAAAAATTCAAAACCAAGTTTGCAACAACTGAATTTAAATAAAATCTTATTAGATGTGTATATGTTATGAACGTTAACTAAGGCGTACTTTAACGGCGTCACATGTTGAATGTTTTAGCATTTTTCTAAGTTTGTAGTCTTTTTTACGTTTTTTCTTATTAAAACTTTTATAATCGGCATAATATTAAAATCGTTTGAAGTTTTTAAAAGAACATTTTAACAGAAATGTTTTTGTCATATCAAAAAGTAAGTATAGTTTTTTATATGTACATTTTTAAACAGTTTTATAAAAATATTGAGGTAAGGAATAAGTATAGAAAAGGTCGGTGTGGAATAGATTTACTAAGACCGTTAGTTTACGTCCGGATAGCTATAGATAAGTATAAAAATGGTCGGTTCGGTAAAGACCCGTATTTTACGGGTCCCCCCAGCTATGAAGCGGTAATTTGGCATCACTTTTCTGATTTTTGCGATTTTTACGCAAAACCTGTCTTAGGCCAACTAAGATTTGATAACATAGCTACATGGTCGATGGTTGAAATTTAGAACAGTTATTAATGAATGTCTGTTCCATCTAGATTTCCACAGACTTTGCAAGTTTTTATATAGAAAGTTAGTTTTTAATGCATTTATATTTTTGTATTTATTCGTTTTGAATAAAAAACATAACATTTTTGAAAAGTCTGTGGATTTAGTAATACTAAATCCACAGACTTTTCAATCTTATATGAATAAGATAATCAAAAAATTATTTTCTGTACCTCTAGCTATGTTATCAAATATGTTTTCAAACTTGGCATGTTTAGCGACATTTTTTTTAGTTTTTTTTGCATAAATTCTTGTTTACATTTTAAAGCGGTGACGCAAACTCTGATCGTTACGTCCCCAACGATTATCGGATCCATTTTAAGAAAACAAACAAAACAAACGAGACACATTTTATAGAATAAATAACAAAGTTTCGCGGATGAATTTCTCTTGGATATTTGATAAGTTGATTAATCCGATTTTATCTAGTGCATCTATTTGTCAATATTATTCTATTTAAGTTATTTGTATTATAATTTTATTACTATATCAATAAAGATTATAAAGCAAAGTTTCGTGGATTATTTCCTCGTGGATATTCGACTAATCTCAGATAAGTTGCTTAATTCTTTTATTTTTAGTGTATTTATTTGTAAATATTATTTTATTTAATTTCTTTTATTATATTATTATTATAATATCATTATCATTATTTATGTGATGTATGCAACTGAGAGGGAAATTTTGAAACTGTACATCGGTTGGGAAGATGGTTATGAAAATGAGTATAACTTTAATTTTGTAAAGCGAGTAATTGACACTAGTAAGATCATTAACAATGTGATTTCAATTTTATTAACAGTTTTTCATCCAAAAGCGTTGTTTACTTTTTTAAGTTTTCTTTTGCCAATTGAGTTTAATATGCCTAATATTGATGTGTTAAATAAAATGTGCCGAAAAATAAAACAAAGAAAAAAAGATTCTAAAAAGTATTTTGAAGCTTCAAAAAACGAAGCATTTTTTAAAATGCAACTGTCTCCAGCTCCACAAACAAAAAAACAAAAAAAATCAGCAGATGCAGATAATTTTTATATTTTAAATAGGAATAAGGAACTAAGTAGTCAAGTTGAACAATTAATTTTTAAAGAAAAAAATAATGTGGAGCAAATAGATAATTTAAAAATACAGGTATCAAAGTTGGAAACTAAAGTTATATATTTAAATTCTAAAAACAAGGCTCTTAACGCACATTGTAACTCATTAAGTTCTCAATTAGAGACTATGAGTATTAGGCTAAAACAGCAGGAGCAGTTCCAACTTTAAAAAAAAAAAAATTAAAAACAGCACACCGTAAATTTGCATCTGCTCGTGCCAAAAATGAAGGATTGCTAAAAAAATTTAAATTTGAAAAAAAAAAATGCAAAAATCAGTGATATAAACAAGAACAGTTGCCAAATTTGCAAATATTTTGCTAGCAGTGATAAGGATTTAGTTGTCGTTGATTCTTATTTAGACTATGACAACATTGGTTCCTCTGAATTATTCTGTGGGTTTAAATTAAGTAATCCACAGACTATATCAGTTAAAAAGCCAATAGTTAGTAAGAAATATACTTACATTAAGTTAGGAGATGGTAAATCTTATTCTAAGTTAGGTAGGCATGCTGCAGCTAGACGATCTAAACTTGCTTTTATATTCCTTCGATTATTAGCTTGTTCAGATTTGGAAAGTGATTTGTCTATGTTGTTTTGTGATTCTGTGTCTTGTGAAAAGTCTATGTTTCATTGTGTTGCAAATAAGTTGGGTTTAGTTAGGCAGTTAAGTGTTTCTGATGCTGTAGAGCTGCAGAGCCAATTAAGGTTGCCCACGGCTGAATTCCGTAGGCTAAGACGTATTCTGTGTCTTGGTGCAAGGATTCAAGTAAAGAACATGTTACTGTAAAGTCCATGTTGCTTTATCCATCTGCGAATGAAGCACCTTGTTTAGTACCTGTATTGATGGTCAAGAATTTGATAACTTATATTGAAGATGTTTTCAATAGTCTGCACGTTCGTGACCACTTCAATTCTGATGTCGATTTTTGCGAAGAGGTATGGCTCCTTTTTGCTGGGGATAAGGGTGGGAAGTATATGAAATTCCATTTTGAAGTTGTCAATTATAAATCATCAGGGTCTGTATATGATGTTCATTTATTTTGTATGTATCAGGGTTCAAACTGTCGTGAGAATATTGCCTTAGTTCTCGGGCATTATGCCAACGACTTTAAAAGTATTCAGTCGTCAGATTTTAAGCTAAAAGGCAAAATAGTCAGGTTGTTCTTAGGTGGAGATTTTCATTTTATTGATGATGTTCTGGGACACCAGGGTTCAGCTGCTAGCTTTCCTAGTTCTACAGACCTAGTTAAGTTGAATTCTCTAAGAAACCATGCTTCTATGCCTCACACACCTGCTAATTGTAACATCTTAATGAGGACAATACAATCTCTGGAAAGTGCTTACAATGAGAACTTGTGTGAAGATAAACAAGGTGGAAACCTAAAAGCTCTAGGTAAGTTTCATAATTCAATTATTGCTCCTGTGATTTTCCCCATAATAACTTTAGATAATGTAGTGCCACCTGTTTTGCATATTATGTTAGGAGTTGTGTTAAAACATTATAAATTATTGTTGAAGGAGTGTAAGACTTTGGATTGTCAAGCTGTTTCGTCTTTGTCGCATAATGAGAACGTGAGAACGAATGAATTGTGGGCTGTTAAAAGCTTTGAATGTTCTAAAACAGCAGACTCTTTACGTTTATTAGGAAATCAATTTGTAGACGTTGCAAATCTACAGACTCGTTGGTTAGCTTTTGATAAAAATATTTCTGAATTGGAATGCATATCTCTAAACTCCTCCAATAAAAAAAAAAACCTGTAAACAGCAAGAAAAATGTGCTAGTATCAGGCGTTTAATTACTAAATATGATTGTAACATTGATTAGGTGCAGTGTGGTACGTGCCAAAAATTGTTCCATCAATTTTGTGAAATTATTGGTGGTTCGGAAAAGAATGTATTGTGTGATATAGAGAAGTAATGTTTGTTCAAAATAATA